CTGTGAATTTTTGTAAACATATGAAAACCGGCTCAATTAACTCTCCAGTCATACCTATGATCGGCATGATCGTGTATGAATGAGTAATAACATTCATTGATATGACGTGGCCCCTTATTATTTTTTCACCGGTTATTGCGAGAGTTCGTGTTGATGGATTATCATAACTGAAAGACCAAAAATGCTATTTTCTATTTAATTTCCTTCCACTCGTAAACAACGTACTTGAAACTGCTTTGATCGCTATTCAATATATGATCTTCAGCATAATCTGAAATCGTATTTCTTACTGTTTGGACAAAATTTTCGGCGGATTACAATATTTTATCTCGATCTTCTGAATGATTTTTGGTTACCAGTTTTGTCACTTTTCTTGGTGAAATATGATGACGATGTTTGAAGTTGAGTATCCAATGATGAGACGCCTTAAAACCAACGATATTTAAATCATGCGTTTTCTTAATAGCCAAGTGTCGTAAATCTAAATCGTGTATTGGTAGAGAACATTGTCGCAAATGAATAAATTCTGCATAAACAAAGTTATCGACACGTTGTAGTTCTTGTGTTTTTGTACCTTGAACATCAAAGTGCTGCTTGATACGGCGTAATTGTTCTTTATATTTTATTTGTTTATATCGTCTACTTATTGAATTAAAAGTATGGTTTTTTGAATATTCTACGATGGCACACATTGTATCATAAGGATATTTAATATCATCGACGTTTGAAGCAGCATCATTCTTATCTTCTTCTTGATAATCAGCACTACAATCGTCATATTCATCAAAATCCAATGTTACAATATGGTCGACCAGGGGTTCTGCTGAATTTAATAATTGACTAAACAACAGAAATAGCTGGTCCGCCAACTCATGATCTTTAGAAGATGGTTCACTTTGAGCGAGTTCTGGATACTTTTGACGCACCTGATTGTTAACATTAATCATATTTGCATTGGAAACACGGTATTGTATCAGGCTAGAGATCGTGAAGGTTATCATATACTTTATTTAAACCAAAAGCGGTCTATTTTATAGGGCGAAAGGACGAACGAATATATAAATACAAAATCGATGGATATTAGAAAAACAAAGAAATAGTGATTACAGAGACCTGGAGAAAAAAGTATAAACATACATAGATACAGAATATATGTAACTTACAAGAACACCGAAAAATAGGTATTTTAGGCATCCTGAGGTATTAATGTCAGACAGGATTTTTTTAACTTTTTTTAGTTTTAAATCTAATCGAATAACATTTTCTAACTCAGTTTTTCATGCTGATTCAGAATATGATATTTTTAAAAAGTTTAAAAAATTAAATATCCTTAAAACACAATGATTTCTCAAAAATCAGTGCTATGTAGCCGTAAATATGACATTTTTAGTCTTTTGACTTTTTTGACGTTTTTCTCAGCCAAACAGTGACCAAATCGAAATACTATATATATATTCGTGATCAGCTTTTCAGGCTCTATCAAACCATGTATAAATACGCGAAAAAAAATTTCACTGAAATTTTGCATTTTCGCTACCTTATAATCAAACATTTATCCATCAAATATGTTGTCACCATTATCTTGAATATGATGATATCGATGGACCATTTTGTTCATGTCCTTATCGACCGTACAAATCTGTTTCAACTCAATGGTCATTATTAAAAGCAGTTGCTTATACATTTAATGAATATTTATATGATGATACTTATGATATTACTAAATGTTTAGCTATTACTAAACTAGCTGATGCTATTGAGCAACAATGGACTATTCAACAAGTAGAAGAATATAAAAAGAAATATGT